CTGAAGCTGTGGCTGCACAGGAGCTGGCCCAGCTCCAGCAGCGCTGCCGCCCTGGGCAGGCTCCGGCCGGGGTCCGGCGTTCCCGGGGGGTCCCGGCTCCCCGCTGGATCCCGCGCTCCCGGGGGGTCCCAGGCTCCCTCGGGATCCCACAGGCCCAGCAGGTCGCACAGGACGTTGTAGCGCTCCGGCCCCGTGGGGCCCCGCAGGGATTTGTAGGCCTGGAGCTCGGCCAGCAGCAGCAGCAGCAGGGTGTCCCCAGACAGGGACTGGCAGTGCGATCGGGACTGGGACTCCAGGGCGTCCCGCAGGGTCCTGGCAGTGGCATTGGGATCAGAGACACAAACAGTGGGGTTTGGGTGGGGCTGTGGCATGGGAGGGAGCTCCAACCCCATTCCCCTACCCCAGGGGGCTCCTGATTCCCCTCCCTCCCAATCCCATCTCATCCCAATCCCATTCCCTCATCCTAGCCCATCCCAATGCCTCCCACCCCATTCTAACCCAAATTCCACCACTCCATTCTCCCCATCCCAATCCTCTCCTCCAAATCCTCCACCCCAATCCCCCCATCCCAATCCTGCCACCCCGATCCCCCGTCCCTGTTTCCTGTGGGATGTGGCTGACCACTTCAAACAGTGCTCCCAGTGCCCCATCCCAGTATCTCCAGAACCCCACCCCAGTATTCCCAGTGCCCCCCACCAGCCCAGCCCAGTGCTCCCAGTGCCCCCAGTACCCGCTCTGGGGTGACTCCAGGCCAGCCGTAGCCGCGGCCGGCCAGCACTGCCCGGCACAGGGGCTCGCACACGGCTCCGGCCGCTTCCGGAACGTTCCGGCTCTGCAAGGCCTGGCCCAGGCGGAAGGCGGTCGCAGCTGCGTCCAGAGGGGACAAAGTGACCAACGGGACAGGGAGGGGACGCTGCGGTGACCCCTCCTGGTCCAGAGCTGATCCCAACCCCCCCGGACATGGAGTGACCCCCTGGACAGCCGGGATGGGGACACGGAGCCCTGGGGTGGCACTGATAACTGGGGACACAGAGCCCCGGGGTGGCACTGACCACTGGGGACACCCCCGGACACAGAGTGGCCCCCTGGACACCCAGGATGGGGACACAGAGCCCTGGGGTGGCACTGACCACTGGGGACACCCCTGGACACAGAGTGACCCCCTGGACACCCAGGATGGGGACACAGAGCCCTGGGGTGGCACTGATAACTGGGGACACAGAGCCCCGGGGTGGCACTGACCACTGGGGACACCCCCGGACACAGAGTTACCCCCTGGACACCCAAGATGGGGACACAGAGCCCTGGGGTGGCACTGACCACTGGGGACACAGGGGATGGGGACAGGAGGTGGCACTGACCGGTGACATCGAGGAACTTGCCCCTCTCGGCCTCGGGCAGCCCCTCCAGCCCCTCCAGCATCCAGGTGACACTCTGGACACAGCTCGTGGTCACCTGCGCCAGCTCCGGCCACCCCGAGGGCTGTGGGGACACCATGGGTCAGCCGGGACCCCAGAGCCACAGGGGACACTGCAGGACCCCTCAGCCCCAAATTCCAGCCCCACGTCCCATGGGAGAAGCTTCCAGAACCCTCTCAGGGCACCTCAACCCCCAAATTCCAGCCCCACATCCCATGGGAGAAGCTTCCAGAACCCCCCTCAGGGCACCTCAACCCCCAAATTCCAACCCCACATCCTGTGGGAGAAGCTTCCAGAACCCCCTCAGAGCACCTCAACCCCCAAATTCCAGCCCCACATCCCATGGGAGAAGCTTCCAGCACCCCCAGAACCTTTTCAGAGTGACTCAATCCCTAAATTTCCACCCCACATTCCATGGGAGGAACTTCCAGAACCCCCTCAGGGCACCTCAACCCCCAAATTCCAGCCCCACATCCCATGGGAGAAGCTTCCAGAACCCCCCTCAGGGCACCTCAACCCCCAAATTCCAACCCCCCATCCCGTGGGAGAAGCTTCCAGCAACGACAGAACCTTTTCAGGGTGACTCAATCCCTAAATTTCCACCCCACATTCCATGGGAGGAACTTCCAGAACCCCCTCAGGGCACCTCAACCCCCAAATTCCAGCCCCATAGGAAAGGCTCCTACATCCCATAGGAAAGGCTCCTACAGTGGCTCAATCCCAAAATTCCAGCCCTACACCCCACGGGAAAGGCTCTACCCCAAAATTCCAGCCCCAAATCCCACAGGAGAGGCTCCCAGCCCCCCAGGGATCCGGATCCATGCCTGGGAGCGCTGGAATATTTCGTGGATGGCGTTGGAGAAGAGCTGGAGGCTGTGGAACAGCAGCTGCTTCACCATCACTTGCTCCTGGATGGAGTCAGGAGGGACCTGGGAATAGGAAAATGGGATTTGGGAATGCTAGGGGGACCTAGGAATGGGGTAAGTGGGATTTGGGGGTCCAGGAGCTCTAGGAGCTTCTGCTGAAGATGAGGATGGACCCAGGAAGGGCAGGGAAAAAGGAAAAGTGAGATTTGGGGAAAAAGGGGATGTAGGGGTTCAGGAGCTCCAGGAGCTGCTGCTAGCAGGGAGAAAAGTGGGATTTGGGATTCTCCACACTCCAGGAGCTGCTGGCAGGGCTGGGAGCAGCATGGAGTGACCCCGAGGGACCCCAGGGAATCCCAGAGCTCCTCCTCCTCCTCCTCCTCCTCACCTGGGCCAGCAGCCGCCGCAGCGCCCGCCCGTGGCCCTGGCAGAATCCACAAATGCCAGGGAGCTCCTGGAGGCCGAGGGGCAGCTCCTGGCTCCTCCTGAGCACCTCCCCGAGCTGCGCCAGCACGAACTGGGAGCTTTCCAGCAGCACCCGCAGAATCCTTCCGGAACATTCCGCCGCCAGCGCCGCTCCCGCCCGGCTCAACGCCGGCCCCACGGCTCCCACACCTTTGGTCAGCAGAGCCCTGCTGAGCTGGATCCCGGCTTCCAGCAGCTCCAGAGGGGCTCCCAGAGAATTCCCAGCTCCCAAAAACGTTCTGGACTCTTCCAGGGCGTCCAGAGCGTCGCGGGGCCGCCGGGCTTTGCAGAGGTGGCGGCAGCGCTCCAGGGTGAGCTCCAGGAAGCACAGGGAATCCCGGAGGCCCGGAGGCTGCGGAGCCTCATCCTTTAGAGTGTCCAGCAGGAATTGCTGGAGCTGCCTGGCCAGGAAGAGCGGGCACGGAGCCCTGTGAGCCTCGTAGAGAGCGGCGGCGGCCGCGGCGTTCTGGGCGGTCTGCGAGGTGAAGAAAGGCGGCTGGAAGGATTCCCGAGGCGAGGATTCCCCATCCTGTGATTCCAGCAGCAGCAGGAAGCGCAGGGCGCGGATCCTGGCCGTCAGCACCGCCCTGCCCTCCTCCCGCGGCCGCTCTGGCCCGGCTAGAGCGGCTGCAGCTCTCCAAAGGACCGCAAAAGCGCCGGAGGTGACGGTGGCCCAGTCGCCGCGGCGGTGGCCGCGCCGCAGCCGCGCCCGCAGCAGCTCGGCCACGCTCCAGGCGTGGGGTCCCACCCATGCCGCGGCGTTGCGGAGCACGTGGAACAGGATCTTCTCCAGGTACAGGTGAGGGGGCTCGGGGACCAGGCTCAGGTAGAGCTGGGTGGCCTCCTGGGCTAGGGCTAGCAGCTGGGTGCCGTGGGCTAGCAGCCCGCCGGGCCGGGCCAGCTCGGCCACGCAGGCGCGCAGGGCGCGGTCGCAGGCGTGGGCGCGGCGGGAGGCCGGGGATGAGGGGCTCCGGAGGCTTTCCTGGGGGAAAGAGGGGTTTGGGGTCAGGACAGAGACCCCTGACATGCATTTCCGGGGAAAAGAGGGGTTTGGGGTCAGGAAAGAGCTCCTCAGGGGTTATTTCCTGGGAAAAGAGGGGTTTGGGGTCAGAGCAGAGCCCCTCAGGGGCTGTTTCTTGGGAAAAGAGGGATTTGGGGTCAGGACAGAGCCCTTCAGGGGTTATTTCCTGGGAAAAGAGGGGTTTGGGGTCAGAGCAGAGCCCCTCGAGAGTGGTTTCCTGGGGGAAAGAGGGGTTTGGGGTCAGGAGAGCCCCTCAGGGGCTGTTTCCTAGGAAAAGGGGGATTTGGGGTCAGAGCAGAGCCCCTCAGGGCTCGTTTCCTGAGAAAAGAGGGGTTTGGAGTCAGGACAGAGCCCTTCAGGGGCTGTTTCCTGGGGGAAAGAGGGGTTTGGGGTCAGAGCAAAGCCCCTCGAGATGCATTTCCTGGGAAAAGAGGGGTTTGGGGTCAGGACAGAGCCCTTCAGGGCTCGTTTCCTGGGAAAAGTGGGATTAGGGGTCAGAGCAGAGACTCTCAGGGGCATTTCCTGGGAAAAGAAGGAGTCAGAACCAGCTCAGAACCCTCCAGTGGGATCCAGAGGTTTTCTTGGGAAAAGGAGTCAGACCCCAGCCCAGAATTCCCCACAGATCCTGAGGTTTTCCTGAGGAAAAGAGGGATCAGAGCCCCAGATCCCGAGGAAAAGAGGGATCAGAGCCCCAGATCCTGAGGAAAAGAGGGATCAGAGCCCCAGATCCCGAGGTTTTCCTGAGGAAAAGAGGGATCAGAGCCCCAGATCCCGAGGTATTCCCGGGGTAAACTCCGATCAGACCAGATCCCGAGGTTTTCCTGAGGAAAAGAGGGATCAGAGCCCCAGATCCCGAGGTTTTCCCGAGGAAAAGCCGGATCCGAGCCCAGCCCCTCCCGGGCTCACCCGGATCTTCTCCAGGCGCTCCTCGATGCCTGCCCAGCCATCCGTGCTTCCATCCTTTCCATCTTTCCCATCTTTTTCGTCCTTCCCGGCCATCCTGGGGGCTTCTCCTGAGGGGCTTCTATGTGATGAGGAGCTGGTGGGGGCAAGGGGAGGTGTGGGACCCCCAGAACCCCCCAAAACCCACAGACCCCCCCCCAAGCTCCAAATCCCAGAGCCCCAAACCCCACAGAGCCCCCCGAGGGGTGGGGGCGTGGCCGGGGTGGGCCCCCCGCTATTTCAGAGGCGCCCCTCCCAGCCTGGGTTACCCTCAAACCCCAAATTGCCCCTCAGCCTCTGTCATGCCTTAAAAGGACCCTAAAAACCCTCTAAATTCCCTAAAAAAGCCCCAGTTTTCAAAATGTCCTTAAAAACCCCAGAAAAACCTAAAAATAGCCTGAGAATACCCTTAAAATACCCGAGGTATAAAAAACCACTCAAATCCCCCTAAAAACCACAGGGCCCTGAGAAGCAACTCCGGCCCCTTTAGCAGGGAAACAAAACCCGCCAGGGCAGGCTCCTGATGTCAGTTTAGTACCGGTTGTGGTGGGGTGTTCAGTTTTACTGCGCAGGGCTTCCCCTGCCACGGAGAGGAGCTCGGCATTGTCTGGGAACCAGCCTTAGACACGGCTGCTTTTCCTGCCTACGGCTGGGGTTAGGGGTTAGGTTAGGGTTGGGTTAGGGTTAGGGTT